AGACCCAGTGCCTCATACCTGCACCAGGCCTGGCCTCCTCCTCAGACAGACCCACTGCCTCAAACCTGTGCCAGACCTGGCCTCCTCAGACACAGACCCAGCGCCTCATACCTGGTACCAGGCCCAGTTTCTTCGGACAGAGACGCAGTACCTCATACCTGTGCCAGGGCTGGTTTCCTCAGAAACAGACCCAGTGCTTCATACCTGGTACCAGGCCCCACTTCCTCAGACACCAATGGACCAGCATCTCATACCTCGCCAGGTCCAGCCCCCTCAGACACTGACAGACCCAGTACCTCATACCTAAATCCAGCCTTTCTAAACACTGACAGACCCAGCATCTTGCACCTGCAACTAGCCCACCTACCTGGATGCTAACAGGTCAGAATCTACCTGTGCCTGGCCTGGCCTCCTTGGGCAGTGACAGACCCAGCACCTCATACCTGTGCCAGGCCCTGTATCCTCAGACTATCAACCCAATGCCCCATATTTGTGCCCAAGCACACTTCCTCAAACAAGAAAAGATCCAGCACCTTCTACCTGGGTCTTGGCCCTGCCTCCTCAGATACCAATAAACTTGGGTTTGGCCTTGCCCCAGACAGACCCAATGCCTCCCGGGACAGTGACAGTGACAGGCCCAGGGCTCATACCTGATAAATCTCAGCCTCAGCCCCGAGACCTATCTAGTCACACTTGCAGACTCCACTCTGTATCATCTAAATACTCAGAAATCCATTCACATCCTTCTAACAGCTTTTTATGGAACACCTACCACATTCCCAGCACAGGCAACAGAAGCAGCCCATGGGGGCTCCCCAGAGATGTAAATAATCACGCCAATACTGAAATACAAGTGCTTGGGAGAATGGAGATACAGCAGTGAAATCAATTATAAAAGGAATCTGAGGCGTGCTTGAGCTTGGATCTAAAGAATGAGCAAGCATTACCCAGGAAAGCACTGAGCGGGGAGAAGCATTCCAGCAGCCGGTATAGCATATGCAAAGGTCCTGTGGCAAGAGCAGCCTTTCTCAACAGTGAGAGAATTAAGCCCCACAGAAAATACTTTCAGGGCGCCTCGGTGGCTTAGTCGTTAAGCGTCTGCCTTCAGCTCAGGTCATGATCCCGGGGTCCTGGGATCGAGCCCCGCATCGGGCTCCCTGCTCCATGGGAAGCCTGCTTCTCCCTCTCCCACTGCCCCTGCTTGTGTTCCCTCTCTCGCTGTGTCTCTCTCGGTCAAATAAATAAAAAAAATTTTCAAAAAAAAGAAAATACTTTCAATGACTTCACTTCTCAATTCTCCCAAGGATGGTCCAAAGCTAGTACCCTCCTAGAAGCAAGGAAGAGATGCTAATTCATGATATCCATTGGATGTCTTGGGGCATGAGGGCTTAATTCTCTACCGGAAGCCCGTTGAGATAGGTTGGGCAAGAGGAACCACAGCACATTCTAGATGAAAGAAGGGGTGGGAGCTGGAGGGTAGAAGCTGAGAGGCAATGCTGGAGGATGAAGCAGGGATCCCCAGTGGTCATCAGGAACATGATTCTACCCTGGATGGGGAAGGCAGAGGACTGATTCAAGAGCTTCAATCAAACAGGACGAGTTGAAAGAACGAGAGAATTAAGTGCGGCCCAGAGGTTTCTGGCCTGGGTGATGAGATGAATGGTGGGGCCCTTCTCCTGGAAAGAGTCCAGGTTTGGGGGAACCTTACCAGACAGACACAGTACCAGGAGCCACACCATGCCTGACACAGGCTCTCAGATCTCACTGAACAGACTCAATTCTAGAAACTGGACTGCCAAGATGCTGATTTTGGCTGCCCCAGGTCATCAGACCTCACTTTTGGGAGCCCAGCAATGCCAGCGTCTGATATGAGCCTCTGACACCTCCACCTACAGACAACGATCTCTAGAATTCACTTTACCCGCAGTGGCCCTTTCAGATCGCACCTCACAGATGTAGCTCCTCATCAATTCAGCGTTCTGTGCCTCCCCTGCTCTGGCCCCAGACCTCACTTGATCTAACCAGTTATAATCTACTTTTTTCCCACCTGAGTAACTCAGACCCTATGCCAATCAGACCCCAATGCTACAGACCACACCTTGGCCTGGCTGTAGATCCTCAGGCTATAGATCCTAAGGCAATACCATGAGTTCTGCCCATCATGCCTGACCAGGGTACTGAGAACAGGAGTTCTGGCTCAAGGCATTCTATCTGTGCTACGTGATCCTAAGGGTTCCTGAGACCTCCCCAGGCCGACCTGGGTACACATACCTACGATGACTCTGGCTTTCCCTTGAGGAGAGCCCATACCTGATCCTACCACCAAGGATCCCACCTGCACCTGACCCACGTTCCCGGGCCTCACCAGCCACACCAGTTATGCATTCCTGGGCTAGAGCATGCCTACTCATTTCACCTAACAAGCCCGGGATGCCACTTGTCCCTGAACCCAGGGAACAAGAACCCATCTAAGATCACATTTATATACCTCTGTCCATGTGACTCTACATCCATGGACTCAAGACAAAGCCAACACGAATGGATGGATGGATACAATGGCTTTGTCTACGAGGTCAGCTCTGCCTACCTGGGTCCTCCTCCAGGACACATACTGCAGGGTCATACCCTGTCGGAGCCAGGCTCCACGCAGCTGCGCGGATGCACCCGGCTCCACAGATCCGTCTGTGCCTGATCCTGACTCCTCACATCTCAACCGGAAGACCCAGGTCCACCTTCCTAAGCCCAACTCAGACTCCTCACACCTTCCTGAGAGACCCAGCTCTAGCCTAAACAGGCCTGACCTCAACTTCCCCAGGCCTAACTTGAAAAAAAACGGCTCTCTATCCTCATCTGACTTGGCTCTTCACATCTTGCAGACAGATCCAAAGCTAACCACCGCTGTCTGACCTGGCACCAACACCTCACTGACGAGCATAGGTCTGCAGAGATACTCGTATCTGATGAGCTGAGGCTCGTCAGTGAGGTGTTGGTGGCCATTCCACCCACCCAGGCTTAACCTTCCTTCTTCAGGCCTCCCCACAAAGATCCCAGGGTGCATACCCTTGCCTGAATCCAACATCTGGAAGTCAATCTACCTACCTCACCGACCTCCTCAGACCACACCTGACAGGCCAGCCCTGCCTATCTATGCTGGACCTTAGTTCCTCAGTTCAGCCCCAACCCTTCAGGCCTCCTCAAGACATTACACTTGGCAGACGGGCTTTGCCCTCCTGCTTCTGACCCCGGCTCCTCAGACCACATCTGTCAGGCCAGCTCCACTGACCTGTGCTTGACCCTGGGTCCCGAGACCACACCTGGCAGGGCGGTTCAGCCAACCGTACATGCCTGTGGCTCCTAACACTGCGGCTGCTGGGCCGGCTCTCCCGACCTGCACAGGACCCCGGCTCCTTATACTGTACCCAGCAGGCCAGTTCGCCCACCCGTGTTTGCCCCTGGCACTTCAGGCCACGCCTGGTGGGCCAGTTCTGCCTATCTGTGCTGGACCCTGGCTCCTCAGACCTTGCCTGGTAGGCCAGATCTGCCTACCTGTGCTTGACCTTGGCTCCTCAGACCTTGCCTGGTAGGCCAGATCTGCCTACCTGTGCTTGACCTTGGCTCCTCAGGCTTCACTTGACAGACCAGTTCTACCCACCTGTGCTTGACCCTGGTTCCTCACACCTCACCTAAGAAGCCAAGTCTGCCTACCTTGATTCCACTTCCTTAGACTTCACCTGATAGGCTAGTTCTACCTACCTGTGCTTGACCTTGGTTCTTCAGACCTCACCTGGCAGGCCAGTTCGACCTACCTGTGCTTGACCCTAGCTCCTCAGACTGTACCTGGTGGGCCAGATCTACCTACCTGTGCTTGACCCTAGCTCCTCAGACCATACCTGGT